CACACACACACACACACACACACACACACACACACACACACACACACACAAACACTCAGATTGTTATGAGCCTCTATTCCTTTTCAACCGAAGTGTCTTCTGTCTGTCCACTTGAGCTGTGGTATGGCTTTCTTCCCCCACTTTTTGAGTCTTTCCCTAGTGCTGTTGTTCACTTCCAATGGGGTTCGACATTTTCCCTTATCTTTTAAAGTGCCCAAGCCCGTCATTATAGAGGTGGATAGCCTGCAACACTTAAATGGCTGCTGTGTTTGCAACAGCTGTCTCTTTTGTCTCTGGTGACAAGAAACATTTGTCTGGTGGATTGCATGATCCTGATCGCCATGTGAGTAGGAGCCAGTCTGCTGGGATTTCCACATGCTTTGTGCCTCGCTGCATCCATGGGTTACACTCCCGGTGCCTGTGTTGCTGTGTCGATCTCCTACCAACCCACCTTCCACCTGCCCGCTAGACTTGCTTTGGTCCGCTTTATTCCTTGCCGTGTGTGCGTTGCTCTTCTGGTGTCCCAACAACCCACCTACTGCCTGCTTGACTCTTCCCATATGACCATGTCCTGCCTACTGCTACTCTGTTGAGAGCCTTGCCGTATCCTCGTGTGCACCATTCGACCGGGCGCCCCACCCGCGTGCCTTGACGCCTAGCCGCTATGTGCTTTAAGTTGCCTTGTCCACGCTGCGCTGGATGCTTTCCTTTGCTTCGCACCAGTGCACGAGACGGTGCTTCGGGCGGACCACGTAGAGGCCCAGAAGGGCTACGAAAGGAGCTACTGTGATCAACTCTGGTATTTCCACCTTCTTGTATAAAGGCACTGCAGGGTACCCCAGCAGCAGGCCGCTTACGAACTCACAAGAGCCGCAAGAGAAAAAAATTTGGAGACAGGAGGAAGCATTTTTGCACGATTTAGTTGCGCGCATCACACCTCATATCAACTGTTAGAGGAAAGAGAGAAGGTTCCACTGCATGCAAGGCACTCAAGCTACACATGAACCCAACAGGCAATTCAATTTGAAAACTCGGGTAATGTGACATGGTCCTTGTTACCCTGGTGGTCTAAAACCAGATATAACACTGGAAAACATTTTTTTTGCCTCTGAGAAAGAAAAGATCATAGTTGTGGCCCACGTCGGTGCGCCGGTTTGTGCACGGTTTGCGCACGTCGCACCGCGCACCGCACAGCGCACCGAGCGCAGCACACTTGAAAAATTACGTCCAAAAAAAAAAAAAAAAGTAGGGGTTTTCTAATTTCTTAGGGCCCCCAACTCGGCAAAAATGTTGAACTCACCGTGCAAGTTCACAAACCATCCACGCCCATGCCCCGAACTTTTCTTTTGGGTAAGGGCTGCTGAACATTCGATTTGCGCAGGCCCTTCCCAAAAAAGTTTAGAATGGCGAGGCACAGCATAGGTCTCATTCCAACTTTTGTTTTAGGCGGGGTATGAGAGCTGTCCTTCCCGCTGCCTTCTGCAAATCCCACACAGTAGTGGGGTCAGTTCGCAAGAAGGGGTAGTCGCCTAATAACGACCTGCCCCACGAAGCTTCGCAGAAGTCGCAAATTGCATGTTCTATCGCCAGCCGACCACCAATATATGCTGAAGATTGGCTCTCAGGTCCGCATGTCGGCAGTTATGGGTTAGGATGAAGATGCCCGTGGCTCTCTCGTTTATTTGTTTTTGTTTTCTTACGAATACGTTCAGTGGGGCCTGCTCCATAGCATATGGCGGTGTATGGTTCCATGTTTCAGCAGAAGATTCATTCTGCTCTCTCGTTTTTCTGTTTTCTTACGAATACGTCCAGTGGGGCCTGCTCCACTACTCACCAAATGCACAAAAGACAGCGCATATGGCGGTGTATTGTTCCATGTTTCAGCAGAAGATTCATTCTACTAATATTATATACACTTGGCGAGTGGTGGAGGGAGGCCCTGAGAATCACGTGGAGACACAAACAGGGTCTAGCTGAATTGGTGACCCATAACTGCCGAGCTACAGCCCTGAACTCGAATCCACAGCATATATTGGTGGTCTGCCCACATCTCTCCCACACGTGACGAGGCCATCCCTCATTTTGAATTGGTGACCCATAACTGCCGAGCTACAGCCCTCAGCCCTGAACTCGAATCCACAGCATATATTGGTGGTCTGCCCACATCTCTCCCACACGTGACGAGGCCATCCCTCTCATTTTAGCTGGCCCTTAATGGCCCCACCTGTATTGTAGGAGCCATTCGAGGTACCTGCAGGGGGCCTGGAAGCGGACCCTTTGTTGTCTCTCTCTCTCTCTCTCTCTCTCTCTCTCTCTCTCTCTCTCTCTCTCTCTCTCTCTCTCTCTCTCTCTCTCTCTCTCTCT